AGCAGATGTTTCTTCACTTGAAGCTGCTCCAAGAAATCAGGTACAACACACACAACATGTTCACATGCCCAGTGCTCAGAAGCTTCACTAAAACACAGACAACAGTTTTGATTTACATTGATCAGTGGAGGCCTCAGGTTTCCCAGTGTGAGTCCAGTCTGAGACCCTGAACCTCAAGTCAGCAGCCACTGTCAAGTCCCAGAAGTAATTTGGAAAACAAACTCCAGTACTACATCCAGACACTGATCTATAATTTGGAATCAAATCAAAGTTTTGTCAAAGTGTCACATAATTGCAAATATCGTCTTTCAAACCTTTGTACAGTTTAAATTTTACAGTTTACATGTTTTGTTCCAGGGACGACAAACACTTCAGGACGGTGTTCTTGTTCCAGGACAAACACAGAACCTTCATGGACGAGTTCAGACAGAAGAAGCAGGTGATGCTGCAGTTTCTGGAGGATGTAGAGATCTGTGCAGTGAAGTTAGATAAAATGACAAAAGGGGCACGGATCTCCAATGTGACCGGCAGTTCAGTGGGGTTGGTAGGAGGGGCACTGTCCATCGTCGGTTTGGCTCTGATCCCTGTAACATTTGGGGCGTCTATGGCTCTGATTGGGACTGGAGCTGGACTTGGAGTTCTTTCAGGAGCAAACGCTGTAACCACCCTGGCTGTAGAAAAGGGAGTCAACCATACACAAAAGAAAGAGGCTGAAAAGAGATTTGAAAACTTTATGGAAGATATGAACTTTCTGCAGAATTGTCTGGATGATGTTATCAACCAACATATTGAAAATGTCCCAGAAAACCCCATAACTCTGAATGCCAGGATGGCCAGTGACTGTGCTTCTGGTCTTAAAGTAGGTAATATAATTGGAAAAGGTGCAGAAGTGGGCGTAGCAGCTGCCAAAGGTGCAGTGGCCATTGGCAAAGCTGCAAGAGGCGGGTTCATTGCACTAAATGCCCTTTTCATTGGTGTGGATGTGTTTCTTATTGTCAATAACAGCATAGATCTGTACAAAGGTGCTCCAAATGAGGCCTCAAAGTTCCTGAGGGCCAGAGCAGCTCTGTGGAAGTCAGAGATCGACTCTATGCAGCAGATCTGTGATTCTCTGGAGGAAGGGCAACAACAATATGAAGATAAAAAACAACAACTCCAGAGGCTCTTCTATGAGGGCTGAGGGAGAGTCTGAACATGACAAAGCACTTATTTTAAGTTATTTGTTTGTGAAAACGCTGAGTCCCCTTCCTTTGCTCTCCCCGCAAAGTCACTCCCCCTTCAGTGCACTATCACAGCACAATCAGCATGAATCCCACGAATGAAACTCTTTCACTCTTTCTCCTGAAGTTATGCTCTCCTTCTCTTAATCTGAATAGTATTTGAATGTTTCCTGGCAATATATTTTTACTTGATTTGTACAATAATTGTGCCATGCAAAAAGTAACAAATCATAGAACTTTAATTGTTTAGACTTCAGAAATACTGTGTATGTGTGTGTGTGTGTGTGTGTGTGTTGTGTGTGTGTGTGTGTGTGTGTGTGTGTGTGTGTGTGTGTGTGTGTGTGTGTGTGTGTGTGTGTGTGTGTGTGTGTGTGTGTGTGTGTGTGTGTGTGTGTGTGTGTGTGTGTGTGTGTGTGTGTGTGTGTGTGTGTGTGTGTGTGTGTGTGTGTGTGTGTGTGTGTGTGTGTGTGTGTGTGTGTGTGTGTGTGTGTGTGTGTGTGTGTGTGTCTGTGTGTGCTTTATCCATGTTTCTAAGAGCAAAATAACTGCATGTTTGTTAGTGCATGTGAGCACATACATGTGCATGTGTGTAAGCGTGTGCACGTGCATCTAAATTTCACTATAGAAAAATGAAAATAAAATAGCCTTTTGAAGCCCCTTTAGACGAGGCCCACAGACGCTGTAGGTTTTGTAATCCTGTTTAAATCTTTCATTCAGACAAGTTGAAGTTCTACAGTTGTTGTTTCTGACATAGAAAATGGAAAGCCTTTTTTGAAAATACAAGTGGACACAGACAGTTTACTTCATTTAATTTTTATTGAAACATAATCTTTGAATAATTAAAAAAGTTTTGTACATGATTTTAACCATGAATTGTCATAATAGTGTAATACTCCCTCATTAAAGCCACAGTCAAGAACTGTCACAAACTTCAATGTTTCTCTGTCAGCATAAATAAAGAAAAAGGAAAGTTTTTTTTACTGTCAAAATCATGTTGTGTGTTGATATTTTCAGTGCAGAATATAAAACCACAATCACAAGATACAGGAAACTGTTGAAAAACTGTTTTCACTGCAAGAAGTGTGCACGGAAAGGGAAGTGTCACTGCCACCTCCACAACCTGGCCCCAGATAGAACACAGGTTTATGAGGTTTTATATTTATTATTTCATGTTTGCAAATGTTAAATCATCTCAGAATTTCATTTTGTGTTTTTTAAAAGTACAATGGAATTTTGTTAATTTTATTTTCAGGAATCGATTCAGCCAGTTTCTGTTGTTAAAAAGTCTTTGAGCTTCTTTTTGTGGACAGTATTATTAACGTTTTATTGAACATTTTGCTTGCAATAAATATGATGCTTTGGATTTTTACTGCACCTGCAATATTAATTAATTCATGGATACGTTTTTGGTTTATGTGTTTGTGAAACATGACAGTATATATAAATATGTGTGTGATGTAAAAGAGTCAAGAGTACAGGGCAGTGTGAAGCAGAGTCTGCAGCTGTGCCCATCCAGACCCAATGTAAGTGTAATGTTTGTGTGTTTATGTAAATATGCTGTTTCCACTGATTAAACTCACCTTTTGTTTTGCTCTACTTAAATCAAAATCATAAAATAATCATAAATCATGAATTCTATTGTGTTACTGCTGTATTTGTGTTTCATTTTTCAACTGAGCTTGAACAAAGATGATCTGGGCTTTATAAAAAGATCACCATGACTGTGGCCCCTTTCATGGTTTTATTTTAACACTTGTTCAAATGAACTCAGTATTTATCAAACTCAGCATTTATCAAATCACATTTAACTCAGTCAGTATTTATCAAACTCAGTATTTATCAAACTCAGCATTTATCAAACTCAGTATTTATCAAACTTATTTATCAAACTCAGTATTTATCAAACTCAGCATTTATCAAACTCAGTATTTATCAAACTCAGCAGGGGCATTGGTGATTTCGGGGCATTTCTTTGGGGTATTGACATTTACAAACACATCACATATTTAGATCACCATGTTCCTTTTATCATTTTGAAAATTCTACATATACTGCCCATGCTAAGTCACTCCCCCTTCAGAGCATCACAACACAATCAGTGTGCATCCCACTAATGAAACTACTGCACATTGCATCAGGTTTGTGAACTTGTAGTGTGTTGTTTTTTTGTTAGGCTTTGCACAGACTCATACTACAACTACTGTCAAAGTCTGATCCAGTCAGATCTCAGAAGCTCAGCAGGACTGGGCCTGGACTGGACTTGGATGGGAGACACTGGGAAAATCAGATTCCACAGTGGTCGTTGTGTCCTTCGGCAAGGCACTTCAACCACATTGCCTAGTATGAAAGTGGTGTGTGCTTGAGTGATGGTGGTGATCGGAGGGGCCGATGGTGCAGAATGGCAGCCTCACTGCCCCAGGGCAGCTGTGGCTACAATAGTAGTTTAGCACCACTGAGTGTGGACTGAATGAATAATGATCTATAAATCTTTCTTTGAGTGTCCAAAAATGTGCTTTTTTAAAACTGATGCATTATCATTATTATTACTAAGGAGGGCAGATGATTGGCTGTGACCTGTCTCAGAATAAACTGTGACTAAACAGAAATAAAACCCCACAGGAGAATTTAGTGTTTAAATAAAAACATTTATTCTGATATATCTGGTCTCTGAGCTGATCTGAGGTCAGCCGTCACTTCACAAACTCCTCTCTCTCTCTCTCTCTCTCTCTCACACACACACACACAGGGGCAGAGCAGGGCTGCACAATGTCACTAAAGTCAAGTTAAAAGGTAAACAAAAGTCTGAACCACGACTGGAACAAAAGGCTTGAAGTGCACGTGACAGGTTTTCATGTTTCACTGATTCTGACTTGGTTTGTCGAGACGGCACCTGTGGTCAATATTTCTCAGAATGTTGCATGTGATAGAAATTTAGATTGTGGAAGATTTCTCTCAAACTGTCTTGTGTAAATTAATGTGATTTCTACCTGAAACCCAGACCAGTCATTAACATGTGTAAAGGTTCATCAGGCACAACTGTCTCCGCCTTCAGGAAGACTTTTGTTATCATCAACTGTATGTTCATTTAGCACCAGCCTCTGAAACCACAGTCACTCTGCATTGATATGTATGCCACTTGGATTTCTGTGTAAATACTAGAGCTCAAATGCTCTGGAGAGAGACATGGAGGAGACATGGGGAGAGACATGGGGGGAGAGACAAGGTGAGAGGCTGTTGGGCTTTGGCTGGAACAGGCCTAGGCCCTGTCCATATC